TCATCTAAGTCTATAACCAGATTGTATGGTCATTATGTTATAGACTACACTAAACACACTGAACATACACTAAACATTTATTATTTTATAAGTAAAACATTTTATAATATTTTAATACTTAAATAATGATACTAACTTAATACTAATATAAATTTAAATAATAAATTTATAATTTAAAATGTTGATCATACCAGAATTTCCATAAATAAAATGCTATTCTGTATTAATACATCAATATAATATTGCACAAGCTCATGTTAATTTGTGGTAAAAACACACTTGATCAATCAGTAAAATCCAATTGCCGAAATAATCTATACCAAATATATAATTAAATGATAATTTTAATACACTATACACAACAAGACGTTTAACTACTTTCACAATACATTGGAAAAAACAACAAATTACAGACATGCAAAAAACAAAATGATTATTTAAACATCAAACTTTGTAAAATACGCTATTGAGAAATCACTATGATCATAGTATGTACACCCTCGATTACATTAACCTCTATTACTTTATTTTCCTTATACAGTGTACTAATCCTTATAATGAACTGCTAATATTCACCAAAACGAGCTTGCACAAATGTGTCGCTACATTAATACACGTTTAATTTATTATAAATGTATACTAATATTAATTTTACAATCAATATTGTAAAATTATAAATATAATTATAAATGTTATAAATACAACTAATATAATTAGGTGCACTTGTACAACAACAAAACAACAATAAGCTATTGACACAATTAATTAGTTGTATTTTTATTTATCTGGTTTGTTTTTTTGCTTAAGAAACAACATGCACACTTTGTAACATTGGTATATACCCGAGGTGTTTATGTCTGGGAAATCCCTGTTCACTAATATATCCATTCAGTCATGTATTATATTCATTGAATATTTGTTTTTAATTTTACATTCATGATTTATAATATAAGAAGGTGTTTTAAAATAAACATTGTAATAATTTCGCAAATATTAATACATACTAGCTATTTAAATGCAATGTATAGTTTTTATTTATAATTAATAAAAGTTTACAAACATAATTGCCCTTGGTGGGTAGAAAAGTATTACTTACAACAACCTTTGTTTTAAATATTTACCAACATGGGAAATCCTACAATAAAATTGTAAAATTATTGTTTTGCCATTTTAATTTCTGTACTAATTTGTAATATTGTACTAATACATAAATTTCCCAAAATAACTATTATGTAACTAATTTTGCAATATTCATTTCTGAACAAAGTTGCAATCAGGAGACTATAGTATAATTTGCATGTTTAAAATAAAATGTAATAAATATTTATAGATTAATGAATTGATCAATAAAATTTCAATATAATAAATAACAAATTGACATATAAGAATCGGAAACTAATTTAAATCTCATTATAAATTATATGGAAAAATTAATTTTCTATTAATAGTATTTATAAAATTATCATTTGTAATTTCCATAACCATTATTTATCATGCTGGTTAAATAGTAAAAATGATAATTTATACTAAAAACAATAATACTATTGTATTTTTATTTATATTGTAAATAAAAATAAAATTAACCATAGAATATTTATAGAAATTGAATAAACATTTAAACAAACTTTAAATCCCAAAAAATATTATTATTTACACAAGGTTGGAAAATGTACAGACAATTGTTTTATGGCATACTAAAATATACAAAGTATACAAAATTGATCATTTATTAACAATAACAAAATTAATACATTATAACTGACCAGTCATAAATATTTGACTCAACATTAAGCCGAAATGTACATTTTGTAGCACTAACCAAGGACATTAAGTTTAAATCAATTATTATATACAGCTTATTTTACGCGGGTATTTATTTTTAGCATAAGATATGTCTATGAATTACATATTTATGTAATTAATAAGTCGACTCTCATCTAAAAACAGTCTATATTTGTATACAAATACGTCAATAGTGTAGACACCGATCGGCCCCTACCTGTGCTGTCCGCCCCCTAAAATTACTATTACATATTTACACTCATAAAATTACATA